CAATTGTCACTGGGTTTCAACCGTCAAAAACTGTCTCTGGATATTCACTGATCTGTTTTCACCCACCTTTCAGTTCCTCGTCGCCAGAATATAGTGTTGTACTAGGCTCTTGCCTCTGAACACTCAAGTAAACACGTCTGTTTCTGTTCATCAAACAGGCTCGAAGACCCCGTATGTTTAATTACTACCGTAAAATGTTGCATATACACTACTGTAATAAATCGCGTGTACGTAAACAGCTAGACATCCCAAGTGTCCCGGTCTCACCGGGATTGTCCCCGTGCGACATGCTGGTCTCGGTGTCCCGTTAAGAGTCCAGAAAGTCCCGGTCGTAACATTTTTCAGCCATATTTTACAATTTACATCGGTTAATTACTAAATTTGCCGTGGTAGCAATAATAAATAATAATATGTGAAACCATAAATTAACATGAATTTGCATTTTATTTTACATGTATACTTTATATAAAATGGTGGTGCGCCACGACAAACACATGTCGCAGCCCGCCACAACTATTTTCCTGTTTTTGCGCATCCTTTCTTGGATTTTCCCAACTTGGGACTTCTGACGTAAAGAATTTTATAAACCATAACACATAATAAGGATTTAAAGTAAACCATAACACATTGACTACACTACAATATAAAGCTGCTTTTTCTTGAATGCTAAAATAATACGCGATGTCCTCCCACGTGTGATTGTTATCTTGAAACAGTAAAAAATATCTTCGTTACTTAATTCTTAATTATATGCCGTTAAACCTTCCACTCTTCCCTTGCATAGTCTACCTACGTTAGGCTAGGCTAACAAAGCATACGCGCCCTAGTTTTTGAAAACGCATAATATTATATGTTTACTGTTTGCGTAGGCCTGTACCGTAGTATTTTGACCACTGAACTGGGGGATTTGTACCCGAAACTGGACGCTCCTAAGTGCGCATGCGCGCAGGCGCCTCTTGTTTTGCAAGGGCGCATGCGCAGCATGCGCAGCATGCGCAGTAGTCATCTGCGCATCTCGTCCATCAAAAACGGTCACAATAAACAAACATGGCGGCCAACCCGGTCACTCATGGAAACATTTGATTGAAACAATTTGCAATGTAGTAAGTTAAGTAATTTGCAATAGTAAGTTAGACTGTGTTATGTGTGTCAGGTTACAAGGCGAAACAAAAAGAAAACAAAAGAGCATGGCTACTATTTCCTACGGCCCTGCAAAACAAGATTCAAACAAAAAGAAAACAAGAGAAAAACAAAAGAGCATGCGCACTTAGGAGCGTCTAGTTTCGGGCGAGCGTCCAAATACTACGGTACAGGCCTACTTTTCCGCGTTTTTTCTCAGCGGCAAGAGTTATGCCAAATAATGTGATCGACGTCGTGGGAGCGCTAAATGCAGAGCACGGTGACTGAATCGTGAACTCCACCCATGTTGTTGCTACAACGCCAGTATCAGTATCAGTGTGGATATCCATTCCTGTAATACGCATATATGCTTGTTTCCATGTATCTTTACTGTGTAAAACGGCCAGGAACATATATCTTACCAGTAGGTGGTGGAATATATCTGATTGTAAGGGATAACGGAGGCACACGGCCTTTAATATTTACTTTGTTTCTAATATACAATACCGCTGTTATTATTAGACCACACAACCGGCTTGCGTTTCTGAACGTTTGGGTTATAAGTTGGGTTATGTTTGTCTGACTTTATTTTCATGTTTGCGAACTTTTACTCATCTGAACTGAAGAGATATTACTTGCGCATATAATAGCAACAAGATGAGACGGGATACTAGAGAAGCGTTGCCGAAAGAAGGTGTTGACCCGAAGTGCTGAGCGCAGATCTTGCGCTGTGTTATAGTGCAAAAGTTGATAAAACGTTGTTTTATTCTGACACAACGTGTAATAACAATGTTAGGCCTATATTAGCTACAGCGCAATAGTAAATATATAGGATGATTTTGTTGCTATTATATGCGCAAGTATATTCTTTCGTTTAATGATAAGTTCGCACATGAAATAAAGTAGATCAAACACCCAACTTATACCCAAACGTTCAGAACGGCAAGGCCGTTGTGTGGTCTAATAATAACAGCGGTATTGTATATTAGAAAGCAAAGTAAATATTAAAGCCGTGTGCCGTCCGTTATCCGCTTACAATCAGATATATTTCACACACTAACTGGTAAGATATAGTGTCCTGGCCGTTTTACACAGATAAAGATAATGGAACAAGCATATATGCGTATTACAGGATGGCATATCCATCACTGATACTGCTACTGCGTCTGTAGCAACAACATGGTGGAGTTCAGCGATTCAAGTCACCGTGGCTCTGCATTTAGCCTCCACGACGTCGATCAATTAATTTGGCAAACTCTTGCCCCGCCTGAGAAAACGCGCGAAAGTAGGCCTGTCCCGTAGTATTTGATCGCTCGCCCGAAACAGAGAGACATGATTACAAAGATTGCGTGGCACACTTTGCTGTTACCTAAGCGCTGCGCGCGATTAACGCGGGCAGTTCGCGCGGATATGCGCACGCGACGCGGGGATGTTTCAAAGTATGAAGCGCCTGTCGCGCAGTGGAGACGTGCGCAAAATTCGAGCCCGGCGCACGTCTCCACAGGCGGTCAGCGGATGGTCTGTAGTTTTAGAAGATGACAATGATTATATATGGACG